CCCCTCGCACCCCTCACACTCACCCACACACTCCCTCACACACCCACCCACATGTTCGCCCACACCCCCACACTCACCCTCACCCACACACTTGCTCACACACCCCTCACACACTCACCCACATACCCCCCACACCCCCACCCCCCCTCACACTCACATTCACTCACCTGCACACAGGCTCCCTCACATACTGTCTCCCACACTGACCCTCTTACACACTCACTCACACAGCCCCTCCCTCATTCACACTCCTGTCGCCCCAGGCCTGTGCGCCGGGGGCAGGGCGTCCCCACCTCACCCCTGTCCTAGAGCGAGGGGGCCTGGGGGGCTGGGGGGCCTCTTAGCGCCCCTCTGTCTACCCTTGTTCACTCTACAGACGCCTGCGAACCGTCCGGCTTGGGGCCCGGGGCCAGGCGGGGGACAGGGGTGTCCCTCTGGGGAGTCCGGCCGGCTCCCAAAGTAGCGCTGAGGTGGCGGGGCCGTGAGCCCCGGGCCCGGGTGGTGGTTCAAGGGGCCGCCAGTGCAAGGCCCACCCTCCCCCCACCCGGAACTGGGGGTGGGGGTGGGGGTGGGGGTGGGGGGGAAGGGAAGGGGCTGGGCCCCGCGGGTGACAGGCTCCGCCCCCAGGGACCTCTCTGGGCGGCCCTCGCCCGGCACCCCTGCAGCGGCTGGAGTTGTGGGGGCCTAGCCAGGTGGCGCACGGGGGTCCACAGGACGGGGGACGGGGGGACAGGGGACAGGCGGCCCCTAGCAGCTGGGCGGGCGGCCCGGGCAGGTGGCCGCCGGATGCCCCCCGCCCCCGCCCCCTGCCTGGAGGTGGGGCCGGACCGCTCGGACAAGGTCGCTGCCGAGGCTGGAGGAGGCTCGGGCCGGCCCAATGGCTCCCCCTGCAGGCCGCCTGGCCCCGCGGCGCTCTCGCAGCCTCCACGGCCCCGGCAGAGAGCGTGGGGGTCCCGTCGTGAGCGGGGACGGGGCGGCGCAGGGGTCCCGGGACTGGGCCCCTCCAGACGCTGGGGCCAGGGTGCGCGGGGCCGTCCCCACCCGCGCAGCCCCCTTCTGGCATGTCTCCACCGCGCGGACGGTGCCCCCCCGCGTGTTAAGCACACCCCAGCAGGGTCCCCCAAAGACGGCCTCGGCTGAGTCAGGACCCCCCCCCTTCCCTCGTCCCATGCGGCCCCCTCGGCCCCGCTCCCGGTTCCTAAGTGGTGTGGTGGCTTGCTGGCCCGCGCCCGCCAGGACCTCCTCCCAACAGGACACAAGTGACGCGAGCCCAGGCCCCCCCACCCCTCGCCCCCCGGCGGCCCGAGGGGCCGGTGAGGGGGCTCGGAGCCTGGGTTTGCACGCCGGTCACACAGGCGCACGTGGCACGTGACCTGGTCTTTCCCAGAGGGCAGGGTGGCACAGGTGGGCGGCCATTCCAAAGAAGGACCTTTGGGGCCCCCGCTCGGCCACGTGCAAGTCCTCATTCCCTTCGAGGGGCCAAGGAGAGTTTGGGGCTCAGCCTGGGCCGGGGGCAGCCGTGAGGGGAGGCGGCGCTCGACTCCAGGGGGCGGCGGGGACAGTCCAGTCCCGCCGCTCCTCCCCCTCCCCCTCCCCCATGGGAACCGAGCCACGTGGCGGCCCCTGGCCAGGTCGCCCACATCTGCTCCGCCCGAGGGACCCTCCCGCCGGAGGGGTGTGGACGCGGCAGCTGCGGGGTCGCAGGCGGGGCGGTGGGCGGGCCTCGGGCTGGGCAGCCAGGTGGGCCCGGCGTCTCGCTCGCTCCTCGCTCGGGCCGCCCTCAGTAGAGCCCACGGGCTGCGGCTTACACGACGGACGTTTCGTTCTCGCGGTCCTGGAGGCTGGAGCCCAGAAGGTGGCCTGCAGACGGCCGCCTTCTCGCCGTGTCCTCACACGGAGGACAGAGACACCTGTCCCCTCTCCCCCTCTTCCGTGAGGACACTGGCGCCACCTCGGGGCCCCACCCTCATGACCTCATCTAACCTCATCCGCCCCAGAGGCCCCCCTCTTCCACATAGGGGCTTGGGGGACACAAACAGTCAAAGGAGTGGGATTCTAGTGCAGGCTGGGGGGGTCCGGGCCACCACAGCAGGGGCTCTCACCTCCGTGCCCCGGGAGGCCGGGGCGGCCCTGCACCCCGGAGGCGGCCCCGGGGGTGCCCGGTCCACGAGGCCTCTGTGGCTGCCGCAACTGCCTTGCTGACACGACTTCCCTCCTGCTCGGCACCGGGGACTTGGAGGCAGCGCCCCAGGACGGCTCCCCATCTGCCCACGTCCCCGTCCCGGCAGGAGGTCCCGGGGCGTCGTGGGTATCACGCGCGGGGAACACAGGGGTGCAGAAGCTCAGCCCCGCCGCTGCGTGCCTGGCCCGGCCGCGTTTCCCCGGGCGAGCCCGGTGCCAGGCCTGCGGGGCCTCGCAGCCCAGAGCGAACTCCGGCTCCAGCATAAACACCCATTCAGCCGCACAAGGCCCCTTTGTCCCGAAGAGAGCTTCCTGGCCCAGGATGCTGCCTGGCGGCCCGTGTCCTCAGCACGGCCAGCTGCCCCAAGTGGCCTTCTCTGGGCAGACTCCCGGCCCGGCTCAGAGAGGCCCCGGTGGGGGTCAGGGCCCCCGCGGCGGCGCGCAGAGCGGCCAGAGAGGCCGGGCGGGCTGCGCCGGCCGAGGCCCTGCCACCGCAGACCCCTTCGAGCGGCCCTGAGCCTGCAGAGAGCGACGGGAGCCTCACGGCCACGTGGCCACCCTGCCCCCTCGGCCGCACGCGCCCGTGGGTGGGTGATGACACTGAGGAGAAGCAGCTGCTGAGCCTTAAGGCGCTCGCCCCCTGCCATCCCTGTCCCCCGCAGAAGACTGGTGTCTGCAGCCCGTGCCCTGCCTGGCCTCTTCCCTGCCAACGGCCCTTGGTCCCTGTGGCTCTCAGTTGGCTCTTGAAACTCCTCCTGGGAGGGAGAGAAGAGTGGAGTCCTTGTGCAGGGGAGGGGTGGGATGGGGCAGGATCTCGTGCAGGGGCAGGTGGAGGGGGTGGACAGGGTTAGGGCTGACGGGGGTGGGGGACTGTACGCCGAGAGCAGAAGCCTGGGTCATTCGGGGGAAGGGGCCGGTATGACAAGGGGGGCCCAGAGAGCGGCTTCGGGGCTCAGGTGGGCCCCTGATCCTCGCCCACACCTCCTGCAACATCCACATCTGCTCTTAAGGAGACGCCTTCCAGGGGCCGAGCCCCCCTAAACTGAGCACTGGGCAGGGCCAGCGAGAGGCTCCCAGACGGACCTGGTCGGGGCCAGAGAAGGTGGCTTTGAAGCAGGCGGTGACGGCCACGGGCAGCCTCCTGCCGGCCAGAGCCCGGAGCAGGTTCTGGAACACAGGAGACTGCGGAAGGAACCCCCGGAGGCCACAGCCAGGTGAGAGCCCTGGAGCCTGGGGCAGAGTGGCCCCTCGGTCCCTGCCCCCAGCCCGGCCTTCATCCCAGGGCCGGGCACTTTCCCGCACACGCTCTGAGAACAAACGTGTCCTCCACGTAAGGGGTCCTGGCCCCTCAGTCACCTCCTACCCCAGGCCTCGGGCCCTGGCCCGGGCAGCAACCTCTGGTGGTGGCTGGCAGGTCACCGCGGCCCGCCCTCAGGTCCATTCCGGGGAGGGTCCTCACCAGCCTGAGTCTCAGCTGGGTGCGGGGCACAGAGACGCTCAGAGGCCTTCCGGCCGGGCAGGCCTCGGCCTGGGTCTCTGTGTCGGGACGCCCGCTCGCTGTTCATGAGAGAAAATGCCCCTTCGTGGGCAGTTCCTCCAGGCTTGGGCATGAGCGTCTCCTTGCCCGTGTCCGGCTGCAGTCTCCTCGCCTGGGCCCTGTGCCCGCTCGAGGACGGGGTGTTCTGGGCCTGGCACCACCGGCGCCAGCTGGGACCAGGTCACAAGTGTGGGTCCTCAGCCTGCCCAGACCTACCAAGTCAGGTGCTAAGGAGGCGTTGTGCCGCCGGCTGGTCGTGGGGATCGCGGTGTTAGGGACACAGCTCCGGGGCACTCAAGTCACGGATCAGCAGCCCTGGAGACCGGTGTCCGGCCAGCTCTCCGCCCGTCGACGTCCAGGGGCCGGGATCCCCTGATGCCCCTGCAGGCCCGGCTGCCGCCCGGTTCAGAAAGGCTCCCGGGGGCTGCTTTGAGCCCCACTCTGTGTCCCACCCCGAGAACCCCCCTCTCGGGCCCATCCCGTTACCATGTGGTCAGCGAGCAGGTAGGGGAAGGGTGCGGGGAAGGTCCGGGCTCAGGCCAATGTCCGAGGGTCCAGCGGGCCCTCCCCTGGGACAGCCTGGGGGCCGGAGGGGTGAGGGACTCGGACACCGTGGCTTCGCCAGTTACAAAGGTCTGCTCTGGGGGCGGGGGGTGGGGGTGGGGGTGGGGTCCAGGAGGCGGCGCTCGCAGAACCGGCCCACGGGGGGCCGTGGGCTCCGGCCCGGGAAACCTGCCTTCTAGCAGCTGTCTGTCAACTGCGCTAGAGTGCCCGTGACCCCTGGCCAGAGTTCCATCCGCAGGGACCGCAGTCTCGCAAGGGACACAGGCTGACCGTCACCCAGGCTGTTGACAGGTTGCTTTTCCACATGAGAACCTTCGTCCGCTTGGGTTCTGACCTGTGGTCGCGAGGTGGACACTCAGTCCCCCGTGGGGACCATGGGAACCGAGTGGCCACGTGGAGGAGAAGGCAGGGCCGCGGGGGGCAGTGCGGGGTGGGGTCAGCCTCCCGCCGAAGCCGGAAACCTGCAATGTCATCAAAGCCAGAGCAGCTCCAACAGTTGAACTGAAGGAAAACTTTATTAGTCTTCTTGTTAAAGCAACCTAATTTAAAAACGAGCTGAAGTTAAGAAAAAAGAAGGAACACGACACCTTCCACAGACAGACAGACAGACAGACAGACGGGGCAGGGGTGCTGGGAAGGGGCCTCCTGGTCAGATCTTCTCCATCTTGGAAATGAGGTCATCACAGATTCGGGTCAGTTCCTCGTTTTCCTTAGTCTGAAGGAGAAAAACAAATAAACAGGGGTCTGACTTTTTTAGTAAAGATTTTAGTGTCCACATCTAACGTAGAGCTTGAGCTCGCGACCCAAGATCAAGAGTCACGTGCTCCACTGCCACTGCCCGAGCCGGCCGGACCGGATCCCTGGGTTCTGCGCGATTCCCGGGAGTAGACCACGGGGCCTAGACCTAGAAGGCCCAGCGCTAGAAGGGACTGGCGACCAGCCCCTGCTACGGGGCAGGTCCCCGAGCCAGGAGGGTCCCTCCCTTCGCGTCCCGCCCAGGGGCCGGGGCCCCGGGGCTCGCCTTCTGCTCGACCGTCTTCTCCAGTGACTGGACGCGCGTCTGCTCCTTCCTCAGGCTGGCCTGGAAGGCCGAGGCCTCCGCCTGGGCCTTGCTGCGCACCTGGGCGATCTCCTCGTTGGCGCTGGAGACGCAGAGGGCGGGGCTGAGATGGGCAAGGACCGGGGTCCGGGGGAGCTGGAGGGTCTCCCTCCCCAGGCCGGCCGGACTTTTCTCCACCCATTCCCAGCCCCGCCGGGCCCCTCCTGCCACCACTCACCGCTGGAGTTTCTCCTCCGCGTGGGCCTTCAGGGCCTGGTACCGCTGGGCCTCCTTTTCAATTCTTGCTATGTAATCCTCCACACATCTCTTCAGCGACTCTTCGTTCTTGAAAGAATGAGCAGACGGGAACCGCTAACTCTGTTGGAGCCCGTCAGGCCTGGCTTCTGGGGGAATCCCGGGTCAGGTGTGGATGCGCCCACGACCAAGAGGCTCCGGGGTGTTAACACAATAGCTCTGACAAGGCAGGCTGCGTGGACACAGCAGCAGGCCTCCCCTCCCGGCTTCCATGGCTGCCCACGGCCCCCCTACCCACCCCCCTCAGCCTGCCCGGCGCGCAGAGCCCACGGGTATGGCCCTGTCTCTCGGCCGACCACCAGGACACGCAGACAGGGCTGTCTACCTAAGGGCCGCGTGGGGACAGCCGTGCGGCCAGTCTTCTGCCTGGTTTCAGGCAACGACAGAACCCACAGAGGAGGAGGAGGAGCAGGGGTGTGGCCAGGGGTATGGTCAGGGGGAAGGCTAGAGGCTGAGGCCCCATGCCCCCGGGGTCCCACGCCGTCCCCTGGCCCCATGTTTAAGAACAGCGTTAGCTCCTAAACCGTCTCCCGGTCGTAGAAGGTTCTCTGCCGGCTCTCTCCACGCAAGGCGTATGGCCCAACAGCTCTCGGGTCCCCCCCTGCGTCAGGCTGCCTTCCCCCCCCACCAGCCCCCCGCCCTGGGGGCTGCAGTTAGGCCCCCGCACCCACTGTGCTGGTGCTTCACAGCAGCCGGGCTCAGCCGTGTCCCCCAAGTCATGCTCCGCCTTAGTCCTGGGACCGAACCTCCACCCGGTCCTTTCCCGAGGGCTCTGCCGCAAGGACGCTCGTAACTACGGGGATCAGGCGCCGTCGGCCTGTGGCAGTGCCTACCTGAGGGCAGTGCGGGGGTGGACAGGCCTGGAGGGGAGGAGGCAGCTGGGGGGGTGGGGGTACCGGCCCGGGTGGCTTCCCCCACCACAGCTGAGAGGTGCAGGCACACCCCACCCGGGTCCCTCACCTGCCACCTTGTGGGTCTGTTTCTATGGACTGTGACCCTGGCTCAGGTGTTTCCAGTCTCCTGTGCTAACTATCTAGTCAGCTATCTTTCAAGGAGTTTCGAGCTTTAAGGACTTTCTTCTGCACAGCAGGAACACCACCAGCTGCCCCAGAGTCATGGTGAGACAGTGCGAGCTCGGCCTGGTCCCCGTCCTCTAGGGCCCTTCAAGTCCCCGCTCCTCAGGGCAACAGGCCCTGCCTTTCAGCTCTCTGTGTGGCTGGCTCCCTCCTGCCCGGCAGGTGGCACCTTCCAGGCCCCGTCCGGCCCTCCTCAGGGGCCCCAGGCTACCGCTCCCGCCCCCGGCACAGGCCTGTCCCAGCATCTCGCAGTCACTGGGCCGTCCCTCTACCACGCGGGGGCCTCCCTCTGCCCTCCTGCAGGCCCACCGTGCCCAACGGGCCAGGCCCTCCTCCAGAAGGCAGCCGCCTACTCCTTGGGGCCCATGGGGCTCTGCCTCCAGTCTGGGCCCCTCGGCGCCCCTGCTCACGTGCCCACACGTCCCTAGGCACACGGTGGACTCCCCCACCTGGGCCCACCGGCGAGGAAAGACACAGCCCGGCGCCCAGCTGAGTGATCTTTGTGGAGAGACTGCAGCTTCCTGGACAAGATCAGGACCCAGGACAGGCCTGGTCGGGGGCTGACCACAGCCCCCCAGGGACCTTCTGGGGGAGGACAGGCACGTGCCCGCTCGCCGCCACCTACCGTGCGGTACCCCTCGATCACCTCCTTCTGTTTCTCGAACCGCTTGAACAGGTCAGAGAAAGACTTTTCCATGGAGCTCAGGTCTGCAGTCAGCTGCTCTTTCTCCTTCAGAATCTTCTCGATCTCAGCTTTTGCGAGTTCCTTCTGTTTCTGAGCCTCCTCTTGAGAAAAGAGGAAGGGGCACTGGGGATCAGAGGAGCACAGGCGAGGGCAAGCAGGGGTGGAGGGGTGGAGGGGTGGAGAGGCGGGCGACCCCACCCATGGTCCCGCACGGTCCTGCTAGTGACTGGGCGACGGGGCCCCTCTCTGGGGTGACCTTCCAGAGCAGGGCCTGGAGGGGGCACAGGCGCCCAGGGTCAGGCGACAGGAACCTAGGGCCCCACGGAGCCTGCAGCCACCGGTCTGTCCCCACTGCCGGGGAGGGCGGCGGGGGGGGGGGCTCCACGGGGCTCAAGACTTGCCCCGGGTGAAGACTGGTGCCCCCTCCGAGCCCCGCCTGACACACAGCCCCCTGGGGGTGCAGGGGCAGACCGCAGAGACAGCGCCCAGGGCGGCGTGCTGCCCTGATGCCTGCAGGGGCCCCAGACACCCGCCCAGGGTCTGGCCCGTTTTGGGGCTGACCAGCACCAGGCCCGCGGTACCGCCGAGGCTGCAAGGTGCCAGCACTCACCCATCGCCTGGTACACGATCCCCTCGAACCCGTCCATTATCTTCCTGC